TCAAAAATCACTATGTATAACTCACCAAATAAATGTAAAACAGAGGAGAAAAGCACAGGATCATCTCAATTGATGCTGAAAAAATTAAACACATATTTATGATTTTAAAAACCTCTCAAAAAAACAATATGTCTAAGAGACCAACATATATAAAAAACCTAAGCCAACATCATATTTAATGACTCACAAACCTGTGCCCCTAGGATCACAAAGATGACAGATGCATGTCCTCACTACTTCTATTCAACACTGTACTGGAAATCATGACAAGGGTACCAAGAAAAAGAATCAAAAGGCATACATACTGATAAAGAAGTAAAAATCTTTTTATTTACAGATACAATAATCATGGAAATTCAAAGAATATATCAAAAAGCTACTAAAACTAACAAACAGGAAGACCAAATGATACATGATCAATATATTTAAAAATCAATTATATAGAGTAGTAAAGATTAAGATTTTAAATTTAAAAACCCTATTTATAATAGCCTCAAAAACACAAAATACTTAGATTCAACAAAATTTGCAAGACACAGAAAACTATAAAACAGCAGTGTCCCGTTTTCATTCCTGATACTGTAATTCGAAGTTTTTCTCATGATGATGTGAACTATGGTTCATCCAGTTGATTTCTGCAGAGAACTAGTATTTGCTGTTCTTGTTTGCCCATTTCATTCATTTCTATTATTTACTATTTCCTTCCTTATACTTTGGATTTCATTACTCTTTTTCTCCTAGATCATCACTTGAAGTGTTTTAGAAAGCAGTGTTGTCTGAGATGTGATCTTCTTTTACAGAGCATAAGCTTTTGAGCTTTACCTATGTTGCTGTAGTCATCAGCATTCTACATGGTTTCTTATTTTATTTTTTACTTTTATGTTTTGGGTACTGGGGATTTGAACCCAGGGGCACTTTACCACTGAGCTATATCCCTGTTCTTTTTATTTTGAGAGCAGGGTCTTGCCAAGTAGCTGAGGGTCTCACTGAGCTGCAGAGACTGGCCGTGACCTTTTGATCCTCCTGCCTTAGGAGGATCAAAGTTCTGCTTCCCAAGTTGCTGGGATCATGGGTGTGTGCCATGCCCAGCTAGCATTTTTGCATCTTTTTAATGATGAGTTGTATTCTACTGTAGGAATATATATTAATTTACTCATGCATTCACAAGGAAAAAACTGTTGTGTTGCTTCCACTTTGGGATCGTTATGCATAAAGCTGCTACAGACTTTTGTGCACACATCTCTGTGTGTTTTATTTCTCCTAGGTAAATATCTAGCAGTAGAATCACTAACTCACGTAGTAAGAGTATAAAGATAACCATTTTGCAGGGGATGATTCTGAAGAGAAATCAACTTCTTTTCCACAAAGCTTCCCAGAGAAAAACATAGGAGAATGTATTTCCAACTTTGGGACAAGCAAATATTTCTTGGACAGCACACGAAGAACACAAACCATTAAATTTTTCTGAAAAACTGCCCATCATTAAAGTTAAAATTTTCTCAACAAAAGAGCACTGAAAAATGGGCATAAGTTACAGAATAGGAGAGAACTTTCCCAGCTCACATCTGACAGAGGACACATGCTCGTGTCACAGAGAGATCTGCCACAAAATAAGATCGAAAATGGCAAAAGACTTGGGTACTTCATAAGACAGACAAACGGCCCAGTCAGTAGATGAAAGGACACTCAACATGATCTGGCACTAGAAAACACGCGTGAAACTAAGGTAAGCCATGTCACACACACATGCTGAGAGGTGCGCAGAACAAATGAAACTTCTCACACGTGGCTGGTCAGTGTACAGTACAACCACAGTGGAAAGTTTCTTTAAAAGTTGAATATACATCTTTCTATGACTCAGAAATTCCACTCTTAGGCGGACTGAAGAAAAAGGAAAAATACAACCAAAAAGGCTTGCATGAGAATGCCCACGCATTCAAACAAACAAAACTATGGTAAGAAAAACCAGAAAGAAATGTAGGGTGGTACGAGGGGCAGCAACTGGTTACAGAGAGGCACAAGGAAACTGGGAGTCTTGGGAATGTTTTTCACCTTTACTGGGGTCATGGCGGTACTGGTATATACACTTTCAAACTTCCTTAAGCTGGATAGTTCAAATTAGCACATTTTACTGTTTGTAATTTTATACTATAGTAAAACTGATTTTAAAAGTAAAAAAATTTTTTAAAAAAATCACTGTTATTTTTAAGTCTGTGTTTACTTCAGCTGTGCCACTGAGCTGACCCAGTTTTTCAAGCTGTCCCACTAACATCCCAGAAGGCACCATGGGAGGCCTGGGCCCATCCCCATGGTCCTGTTTAACCAGTACTTTCTTTTGTTTGGTAAGCTGATGGAGACTCCCCCAACAGTCCCTTTCTTTTCTCCATCACCAAATTCTGTTTCCATTTTTTTCTCTGAAGAGTATACTTATTCCTAAGCTTGAAGAATCATTCCCAAAACAAATTCATGAAAATGGTACCAAGTGGCCAGGAGCCAGACAAAGAGTTTTGAGCTGGAAACGCAGATGCAAATCTGTAGAGACCACTGGACGCCCATCTCACATGCATTCTTGAATTTTCAGATCCAGCTGTAGGTTCATGGCTGCAAATGAGCCAGTTTTACAACTGGCATGAAATTTTACTTAGGCATGAAGTTAAAGCTTCACTGCTTAGACATATCCCTAAGTATTTTTGTTGTTGTTTGTTTGTTTCAGGAAGTCCATAGTTCCAAAGTTTTGTTTTTTTTTTTTTATGAAAAACATGATACTAGAGAAGTTTTAAAAGTTGACATACCTCTAATAACCAAAGGCAAGAGCCCCCACGGCTCTCTGATTCAATGGTCCTACAAAATCAGTTGCTACACAGTTTCGGACAGTTCAATGCAATGACAACGTCCCCAGTGTGTACTTACTACAAATATAAATGCTGAAGTAGTAAGTATTTATAGGCACCAAAATAAGTTATTTTTTAATCTGATAAGATACTGAATACCAAAATATAACAATTATTTTCCATTTTCAAGAGTAATTATATGAACAACAAAGATGCTACCATATACACAATTTCAATAGTCACAACATTCATGTGATTCAGTAAAAACTTTAAGTTAAAAAGCTGGAGAGGAACATTTATCTGAAGGTTAAACTTCACAGAAACCCTATTATGTGACAGAAGCCTGGAAAAATCAACCATAAAGGACCACAAAGCAAAAGAACCCCCGACAGCTGCTCGGGATGCCCTGGAAAGGCCAGGGGGGAGCTTTCACCATGAACATCAGGTCTAGGTTCTTGGTGACCACTCTAAGAACTTCTGAGAAACACCACGCACTACTTAAGACACAGTGCCAGGGGCTCTTAAGGGTGTCCCTGAGTCACCGAGAAACCACCTGTGTGCTCAGCACTGAGTAGAAGGTGGCAGAGCCCGTGATGTCGGAGGAAGGCAGCAAGGGATGGGCAGTCTTCACCAGCTCCTCACCCAGAGGCTTGCCTCACTAAGAGGCCGCTTCTAAGAATGGGCCTGGGACTCTCCTCCTACATGCATGATGGGGTACCAGACCGAGTTCACACGCATGTCCCAGAACCCTCTGCACAGCCTCTACATAGAGAAAACGCAATTTAAACACTATTAAGCACATTCTGAAATTGGGATTTCTCTTGTTATTATAAAACATCTTCCACAGCAAATAACACACCTACACAGAGTCAGGGCCAGGCTCATTATCACCCACTTAAATTCTGTATTCTCTTCCGCATTTGTAGCTGTGACTCATTATTCCTAGTTCCTCACTCCCTTTCCATCCCCCAAATAAAATAACACCCTATGTTTCCAAGACAAAACTCCCTTCTTGTTTGGTTTTTTGCATTCTCTACCCACCTCAGCTCTAAATAACATTCTGAACTTTATATTTGCCAAATGATGCCAGAAAAATCTGTGGACTGCCTGCCCCCAAAATAGCCCTGGGCATCTAACCTCAACCAACCCCACTCCCAAAGGTCAGACCACTTCAGCCCCCACTAACTGCCATGTTCTATCAGAAACACTTCAAGAGGACAAACATCCCTTCCCCTCTTTACCACAATCCTTTGGGTAATTCTGTCCAACGCTTCTGACTTTGCAGTAAATATTTACTGACAATATTCACTTGAGGAACACCTGGCTTCCTTTGGATATTTCTTAATACTTCAGCTTCAGCTTAACCCTTAGGCAGCAAAAGTGAAAGGGGACCCAGCTGGTGAAATTCCTACTCTGGTAGGATTTTTACAAACGTCTACATGTTACTTTTCTTAGAGAAATCCTAACAACTTAGACTTCAGAATTCTAGGACTCTCTGTGGTGAATTTCCCTTCTCCTTCCTCCTGCCACCCCACAGCAGCACGAGCTGACTGCCGCCTGCTCCAACCCCAGCACAGCAGGCTCTGAGTCTCCTGGGGCTGCACTGCAGCTGGAAGAGCCCCCCCGTCCTCCTCTCCTGCCTGGTCTGTCACAGAGAGAGGTGGTGCCATGCAGGGGCAACCTGAAGAGCACACACTTACCACGGTTCTAATGAGGACAGCTGGCAAGCAGTGTCTCTGTGCACCAGGACCTGGGCCACGTGCTGTACACATGGTCTCCTCAACCCTACTGCTGTCCTATGGGATGCAGCCCATTTGATGCCCGCTCTGCAGATGAGGCTACAACATAACAAAGGCTATGCTGCTCCAAAGAGAGGCTCATAACTGAAACCCACACATCATGTCACAGCCCACACTCCACCATACAAAAGAGTCAACGGTTCATTTTAGTTGTTAAGTTTATACATGGTTAATGGAGTGTAAAATGCCTCAAGTTCACTTACTATGCTTTGACTACAAAGCACATGTCTTGCCTTCATATGGAATAGCAGCTAATGTCTTAACTTTAAAAAAGCTAAAGGAAAAAGTTAAAGATTATAACCTTTAAACTTTTAAAAACTCGATGTTTGAAAATCATTTTATTACTCAAGTATGTAAGAATATTTATTACCTGGGATTACAGTTAGCTGAAAGCAATGAAGCTTGTTTGGATCAGGAAAATGCACTTTACAAGTACCTGCAAAAGAAACAGCACATCAGGAAACTCTGGCGTAAGCAGCAGTCTGCACGCCAAAGGCAACCTGAGCACGCAGCAAGTCCACAGTGCTGCTGATAACCCAAGATGCAAGACCCACCCTGCTGTGTGTTCCATAATTATGCCAACAGGCTCCAGCTGCAAACCAGGGGCTTTTACCATTCTTTTTCTCCTTATAGTTTTTAATGAGTTAATTCCAAATTGATATTTTCCTTCAGCTTTTAAATGATTACTAAACATAGCAATCTGACTGTTACTTTCAAGAATTACACTATTTTACTTTGAAGAAACAAGGGCTGGGGTGTAGCTTGGGGGTAGAGTCTTACTGGCATGCTCAAGGCCCTGGGTTAAACCCCAACACAAGGAGGGGGGAAAAAGGAAAAGGAGGAGGGGAGTAAGAGGAAGAAGAAAACACCCCTGGGGAGAATGATGTATGTAGTGAGTAAAGGCTGGTAAACACGAAAAATCTAGGAAAACTATCAGGTCAAATTTCTAATCTGCTCCCCTAGCACACAGACATACAGGCCTGTGGTGAAGAAGTTGAAAATAAGTGTGCTTCCTGAGAACTGGCTCCAACTGGAGTTTACCATGTATTTTAAAAAGAACATCTTCACAAACTAACTGGTGGCTCAGCTTGTTTTGTTGGTGAAATGATGCTCTGCCAACCTGGAGGGAACTTTCTGTGCTCAGTGGTCCCAAGCCAGAAGAGTCCTGGATCAGGACAAAGAACTTCCCCTGGGAACAGAGCCACTGCCTGCCGGTGCAGGTAAGGGGAGTTGGCTGTAGTCCACACCTGCCTCTGTCACTCACACCAACACTACTGAAGTGGTGACCACTCATGGATAAACACCCAAGGAACCAGGAAAAAAGAAATTTTCTACACTTATCTATAAAATCTGAGATTGTTAATTCTTTAGTTCACCTACTATTTCTTGCAAGTCACTGATAATACTTAGTTTTGCAATGATATCAATTTTCAACAAAAAATAGGATAATTCAAATATAAAGTCAGAAATGGCCTTAGAGACCATTCTAGTCCAACATCCTTAATTAGGACAGAGAGTTTCCATGACTAGCCCAACATCACAAGATTAGCTCCCAAATTAATAAGTACTTCATGACTCTTTCCCTATTATGGGCCTCACTTCCTTTTGGTATTTAGTGGAAGTCAGGACACTGAGAGATGACACACAGAAACTATTCAGGATTGCTGATGAGCTTTCTTCTAGAGTGAAAGACAGCTCAGCTTTGAAGAGCTTAGAGCAGTCCTAGTGGAAACAGTGCCATATTCCTTACCTTAGAAAGAAAGAAACTCGAGGTCAAAAAGTTTATAACTCTCCCCTAAATAACACATTCAGATCTGTGTACAGAATATTGAAAAAGGGCTTCATTTCCCTTAATCTTGAGAGTATAAATACCATCTTTCTTTGTGAGATATATGCAAGAAAAACAAATGAGGAAGGTGTAGGAAACAGTTCCATGATGAGCCAAGACTGGCATCCTTTAGAATTAGCTGGAATTTCCCTCCTTTCACACTAACAAAGGTACAGATGTAGAATCGAGTCCTCTGAAGAAGAAAGGCCACCAGGAATAAAGAAATTTGAAGTGGATTAAAAGATAATGAAATGATGGGGGACAGAAATTTTAAAGCTCAAGAAAGGATAAATTCTAAAAATCAAAAGGTTAAAAGTCAAGTTTTCTTTGAACTCAATGCAGAAACTTCATTAAACTTTTCCTCTACATGCAAACATGGGCTACTCAAAATTCCAATATTTCATTCTATATGAAAGAGACACTTTCTACTTTTTGCAAACAGAGAAATCTCTATGAACTTGCATGTGCAGAGGTCCAAACTAGTTCTGAATAATTATGAAACAACACTGTCAAAGGGCAAATTATTCTGTTTGCTTTTGTAAACATTTTGGAAAGATTATCAAACATAAGGAAGACTTAGTACTTAGAGTCTTCTTGGTTCCCTTCAAAACAAATGAGCTGCAGCAGGCTGTGATGGCACAGGCCTGTAATCCGGCTACCTGAGAGACTAAAGCAGGAGGTCCCCAAGTTTGAGAGCAGCCTCAGCAACACACCAAGATCCTGTCTCAAAATAAAAAATAAAAAGGGCTGGAAATATGGCTCAGTGAGAGACTGCTTATCTAGCCATGTCCAATCTCCAGTACCATGCAAAAAGTCAGAGAGAAAGGGTAACAAGCTGCAGCCTTTGGACAACACGGCTTACCTTATAAACTAATTTAAACATCCTGCCTCTGACAGGATGAGGGTAGGGAGGAAGAGCAAAAAGAAGAGGCATGTAGCATGCTGTCTTTTACCAGCTATCTCAGACATCAGAATGCTTTTTTCAGTTATTTAGTTAAAATCCTAATTTAAAAAGAGGATGTGAAGTTTTGTTGTTTTGAAACAACACTCTGGTACAAACCAGTAATCTATGTAAGATTCATGTTCAAGAATAAAACAAATGCTGGGCACAGTGGCACACGCCTATACTCTCAGCAGCTTGGGAGGGTTAGGCAAGAGGATGTCAAGTCAAAGGCCAGCCTCAGCAACTCAGCAAGGTCCTAAGCAATTTTAGCAAGGTTCAATCCCCAGTATTAAAAAAAAAAAAAAAAAGAATAAAATAAGGGGAACTTTTTTGCAGTCTTGAATGAAAAGATGATGTGTATATGTTCAAGTCAGGGCCAGCGGCAAGAATGTTGGGAGTGGAAGTGGAAGGACTGTAGCCTCTCTGTTTATTAGGAAAGTGACCTACACTCGTGAAGGCAAAGGAGAGTAAAATGGACCCATCACTAAGCTTCAAAATTTTTTTTCCAGTTGTGCTTCATCTGTCCTACACCCACACAGTTATTTACTTGTTCTCCTGGAGCATTTTAAAGCACATCATTTCATCTATAAATACTTCAGTAGGTAGAAAGTTAACCTTTTAGTAGTATCCCAAGACAAAGCCTTCAGTTCTGAGTCGAACACTTGGAGGGCAAGCAATCCAGTGACTGAGACCCAAAGTAAAAATCATTTTATGTCATAACCACTCTTCTCATCTATCTATAAGTTAAAAATAACTTTTAAACACTTAGTTTATGTACTTACCCTCATAAGCTAACCACTCAAGGACTGCAGCCCTCCAACTTCAGGTGGCAGGGAAAATGAGCCCTTTCCTAGCCATGTCAGTGGGTTTTCACATCAATACCCCAAGTTCTCCGCAGCACTCAGCCAAAACAGGAGACCAACTTACAAAATATTTCAATAGATATCCTTACTTACTTAAACTGTTTTAAAACAAGTGTGACAAAAAGCTGTAATTCAAAAAATAGTAAAATGGTCCAAGTTTTCAAACTTTAATATTATTATGGAAATATAAAAGGTTTGGGAGGCCAGGTGCGGTGGGGCATGCCTATAATCCCAGCAGCTCAAAAGGCTAAGGCAGGAGGATTGCGAGTTCCCGTAGAACCTCAGCAACTTAGTGAGGCCCTAAGGACTTAAAGAAACCCTATCTCAAAATAAAAGATAAAAAGGCTTGGGGATGTAGCTCAGTGGTTAAGCACTGGGTTCAATATCTGGTACCATAAGTAAATAAATAAATAAATAAATAAATAAATAAATAAATAAAGGCTTGGGAAGGAATTGATAGAAGAAAAAAGGAAAACCTGACACACATTACACACATGCAGGGCATGGTGAGTGGGCACTCCAAGGCAGGCCTGTGTGTCTGGGGCAGGAAAGACTGATCAAGGTGAAGACACTCGTGGTCTATAAGCAGTACAGAAGCCCTACCTCAAACACCAAGGCAGGTCACAGACAAGTACCTTCTGGACCCAAGTAGTGGTACTGTCACTAACAAAAATAGGACTGTCAGTTATTGATTAAATTTTCACAAAGTAGACTGGACATGGGACAAAATACATGTGGAAGAGATCCAAAACCTAACTCTGGTACAGCTCTAGTACACCAAGAAAGCAGTCTGCATGTGAGATGCTAACAAAGACTGCACACCTCTGTACTCTTAGTAGGTCCTCTAGAAATTCTTGGACAAAATTAAAATTCATTTCTGACATACATGAAAAACAGCTTTTTTTGCTATGCAGGGTCATTAAACATAAAACAAGCTTTCTTCATGCAATTATTTTAGAATACTTAATTTGACTGGTGATGCTATACTTACAAGGTAAATTAGCTTCAAGGTCTGCAACCTCTGTAGAAACAAAGAGATTATGGTTAATGTTTGTCTTCAAAATGCACCAGTTCTAAATTAGCAATTTCTTCCAGAATACAAAAGAAAAAAAAAATACTGAAAACACTGAAACTGGGTCTAAAGTTTTATCTCAAACTATTTAGTTTTGAGATATACAAGGTGACTTTCAGAATGCCAACAAATTTGGACAACGAGCCTTGAAAATTCACTTTAATATGAATGCAAATCATCTTAAATAAAGAGAAATTACATGGTGATTGCAGTGTTTTTGAAAACTGTTCCACCGAGTCACAGAAGCACTCCTCTTAAAATCTGACTGACACATACAGTGTGTTTACATCTTTTTTTCAGACCTGCCTCCTTGTAGCTTCTTGGTCTTAATCCTCTCCTGAGGCCTTCAACACCATAGTTCCTCTTCTATCAGTACATCACCAGGTGTGTAAGCTCAGTACCCTTCTGCAGAACAAAACTGCTTACCTCCTACCAGCCTGCTATGAAAGAGCTTAGAGGACAAACCTATACAAGGCAACGTGCCCATGCTCAACACAGTACTGTGGAATCACTAGCAAGGGCAATTACACAAGAAAAAGAAAGAAGAAACATCCAACTCAGAAAAGAAGTAAAATTATCCAAGTTCACACATGACATGATTCTTTTTTTTTCTTTTTTTTTTAGGTATCGGGGATTGAACTCAGGGGCACTCAACCACAGAGCCACATCCCCAGCCCTATTCTGTATATTTTATTTAGAGACAGGGTCTCACTGAGTTGCTTAGCGCCATGCTTTTGCTGAGGTTGGCTTTGAACTTGAGATCCTCCTTCCTCAGCCTCCCAAGCCAGTGGGATTACAGGCATGTGCCACCACGCCTGGCACACATGATTCTTTATAGCACTTAAGGTCCTAAAGACTTCACAAAAAAATCTGTTAGAAATAATAAATGGATTTGGTATTGCAAGATACAAAACCAATACACAAAAACCAGTTGTTTCCATGCACTAAAAATGAACCATCTGAAAAAGAAATCAGGAAAACAATCCCATTTAAGATAAAAAATAGTAAAATAAAGGAATTAAAAAAAATTCAATGGCATATTTATAGTGAATTTAACCAAGAAGTTGAAACATCTGTATAATGAAAACTACACAATATGAATGAGAGAAACTGAAGAAGCTACAAAGAAATGGAATGATACCCTGTGCTCATATATTGGAAAAATTAATATAGTTAAAATGCCCATACTAATCAAAGCAATCTATAGATTTGATGCAATCCCTATCAAAATTTCACTGGCAGGGCTGGGGTTGTGGCTCAGTGGTAGAAACTTTGCCTAGCATGGGTAAGGCACTGGGTTCAATCCTTAGCACCACATAAAAATAAATAAATAAAATAAAGGTATTAAAAAAAAATTCAATGGCATTCCTCACAGAAATGGAAAACAATTCCAAAATTTGTCTGGAACCGTAAAAAGATCCAAACAGCCAAAGCTATCCTAAGAAAGAAGAACATAAGTTGAAGGCATTATATTCTAATTTCAAATTTAAAAAAGTATAGTAATCAAATAGTATGATATGGCATAAAAACAGACATATAGACCAATAGAAAAAAATAAAGAGTGTGAAAAATAAACCCAAGCACACAATTAATTTGCAAGGAGATCAAGACTATAGGGAGAAGAAGGCCAACAAATGGTACTAGGAAGACCGGATATCCACAGGCATTAGAATGAAAGGGGACCTTCATAACCTACAATTGCACAAAACCCAACTCAAAATGGAATAAAGCCTTCAACAGAAGACCTGAAAACATGAAACTCCAAGGGAAAATATAAAAGGGCATAAGTTCCTTGACTTGGCCTTAGCAATGAATTTTTGTAAATCACATCAAAAGCTCAAGCACCAAAAGCAAAAGAAGAAAAAAAAAAAAAGAAAGAAAAGGAAAAAAAGAAAAAAAAAAACAGGCAGGATTACATTAAAGCAGAAAGCTTCTGAATGGCAAAAAAGGCAACCTACGACTAGGGGAAAACATTTGCAGATCATGTATCTTACAAGAAATTAGAAATAAGTATTGAAAATATCTAAGGAACCCATACAACATAACAGTGAAAAAAACAACCTGAGTCAAAGACGGGCAAAGGAGTCAGTTGTGGTGGTGCATCCCTATGATCCCAGCTACTCAGAAGGCTGAAGCAAGAGGATTACAAATTTTAGGCTAGCCTCAGCAATTTAGCAAGTCTGTGTCTCAAAATAAAAACCACAGAAAGGGCTGAGGATATAGCTCAGTGGAAGAATGCTCTAGGTTCAATCCTCTGTACTTAAAAAAATAGATGGGGGCAAAGGACTTGAACAGACATTTTAGCAAAGAAGACAGAAAAACAGCAAACACATACATAAAAAAGATGCTCCATATCACTAAACACCGGAGAAATGGAAATCAAAACCACAGTGAGAAATCATTTCAACCCTATGTAGAATGGCTACTACCAAGAAGACAAGACGTAACAAGTTTTGGTGAGGGTGTGAAGAAAATGTGTGGGGCCAAGTATATGGAGGAGGCCATGTGTTGCAATACTCCATGCACCTGTCCCCACAAAAAGGAAATCCTTGCAGCCCATTAGTGGGACTCTAAATTAGTACAGTCACTGTGAAAATAGCATGGAGATTCCCCCAAAATTAAAAATGGAATTACCACATGACCCAGCAATCCTCTAATGTATATCCAAAAGAAATGAGGTCATACCTCATGGAGATCTGTGCACCCCCACATTCACTGCAGCACTGTACACAACAGCAAAGATACAGAAGCTGCCTGAACTGATGAATAAATTACGATATATACATACATGCCATACACATATATCACACATTTACACACATACACACACACACACACACACACACACACGAACATTATTCAGCCTTAATAAAGAAGAACCTGTCATTGAAGACAATATGGATAAACTTAAAGGACATTATGCCAAGTGAAATAAGTCTGACATAGAAATATACTACAGATAACACTAATATGTGGAATCTAAAATAGCTGAAGAGTACAGAGAAACAAAGTAGAACAGTGGTGACCAGGACTGGGAGCAAGGAAAGGGCAGTGGGAAATGGGGAGATATTCATCAATAGGTACAAAGTTGCAGTTAGAATGAATAATGTGAGATCTAATGTGACTATGTGAGGAGATGGATATGTTAATTTGCTTGACTAGTCATCATTTCAATTATGGGTGTGTATGGGTGTGTGTGTGCATGTGCATGTGTATGTGTGTGTGTGTATATATATATATATATATATACACACATACATACATACATATACATACACACACGCACACGAAGGAATCATGCTTTGTAACTTAATAAATGAATTAATTACAAATCAAAAAAACTAGTCTGGTAGCTCATTGCATACCCTGCAATGAATGGGCCAAAAAGTAATCTCAATCTTTTTGCCTCAAGCAAAAAGTAAAATGGTCCTTGTCCAGGGAGATTACTTCTAGTGTGTGTGTGTGTAGGGGGTACTGATGGAGGTTTTTGAGCTGGGATTCGAAGAATAAATAGACTTTAATCCTACAGAGGTAGGGAAAAATGGATATTCCCAGCATACAAATCAGCAACGTACAAAAGCCGATAGACCTGCAGCCAGAGCAAAAGTCCACATACAGCAGCAGAGTGATGGGAAACGAGGTAGAAGAGAGCCAAGATCATGAAGGCAGCCCAAGAAGATTTCTCAACCAGAGTTTCTAAGCTTTGCCTCCAGAGGATAACTATACAAGAGCAAAGCTGAGGCCAGATGTCTTGTGTGCTGGGCAGCAGATACCCAGCCAAGATGGGGAGGCCAGGGGCCAGAGAGCACACTGAACTACAGGTATGGCAACAGAAGGTGGGGTGACGGGTCAGAGATGGTACCAGGGCTTGACACAAAAGGGAAGCCCAGGATGAGAAACTTGAAAAGTCTCCAGCACAATCAGAGCCAGGGCAAGAAGCTGTGTCATAAAGAGAATGTAAGGTCAACAAAGAGGGATAGGGGGAGAACTTCAGCAGAAAGCAGACAGAGAGCAGGAAAAGTCATAGGAGAGAAATAGGCCAAAAGGCAGAAGACTCAAGAATGCAATGCTTCAGGGAAAGAGGACATGTGTCCCCAGGAAAGGCCACTGGAGACATCGCAAAGAGCTGGAATACAAGGGAGATGGAAAATGGAGGGCAAGGCAGAAAGAAATAAGTATATGTTCAAAATGCAGGGCAAAGGGCTGGGGCTGGGGCTCAGCAGTAGCATACTTGCCTGGCACATGTGAGGCGCTGGGTTCGTTTTTCAGCACCACTTATAAATAAATAAAAGTCCATCAACAACTAAAAAAAATAGTAAAAAAAAAAAGTGCAGTGCAGCAGCAGGACTATTCCTCCAAGGCAAGTGGGGAAGGGTCGCTGAGGCGAGTGGAAAGCAAGAGGCACACTGAGGCTCTGGGTGTGGGAGGCCCTGGGCCCGTGGCAGCAGCTGTGCACAAACAACAGAGCCTGTGGATGGAGGCAAGTGACCATTCATGCACCTGCTCCAGGGCCCAGGAACCTGGGTGAGGCACCCAGAAAAATAGAGGGGGCAGAGGAGGAGCTAGGGTGAGGAGAGTCCCACACTCCCCCACGGTTGTCACAGCCAATGCTTTGCCAGGGAGACCTTCTTGTCTGAGAAAAAGAGCAAAGCTCTTAGCAAGGCAGGTTGTGGGGCAAAGAAACCTACCAATTGACCACCCTCTGGCTGGGGCTGGGAAGGCAACCAATTCTGTCTAAGCCTGCCCTCTTGGCCGTTATGGAACATTCAAAGTATTCACTTAAAACAGCATGATGATAAGCTAAGAAAGACTCACTGCTGAGATGTTTATAGTGACCCAATTGACCTTGACCTTCAGTTGTCTTTCTGACCAGCTATTCTTGCCCTTCCTGGGGAGAAGTAAGGCAGGCAGAGGGCTGAGGAAGACAGCAAATGGATCATCCACACTAA